TTGGAATGACGTTCGAGACATTGACGAAGCTGTGAAGTCGAAAATGAAGGGAGAAGCCACCCACATACGCGCCTCTGGATGAGGCTAAATCGTGCACGACGGTAACTGATATGGTATGCCACCGTCTCCGGGTGCCGTTTCCACCACGGCCACCAAAGGCTGGTCCACCCGGACGGCGACCGCCCATTGCACTCGCAGCAGCTTCACCTTGTCAACTCTCAGACTGATCTTATAGTTTAAAATGGGGTACAAATAATCATCATTGCTCAATTCTGTTAGTTGTTCCTTCGACCGTTTATTTATTTCTGAACCCTCCTTATTGTAGTCCATAATTTGATGGATTTGTCGCAATGGATGTAACATGACACGCAAATAGGATGACACTGCATGTAAATTACTAGATTTATATGGAGTAAGATAATACAAGTAACGGTCATACCTATCTCAGCCTGTAAATTACTAATTAGGCCACAAACACAGGTTAAGACGCCAACCAACACGAACAAAAGCGTGGATAACTACAAAAGCCCACGTATCAGACAACGAACCCACAAGCAGCTTTTGAATAGGAGGAACGTATTTGCCATACTCTTTGCCAATTCTCAGAGCTGTGAAAGGGCATGAAGCATGGTGCGGCGTGGCGTGCACACGACTTCCAATGGCTTTACCTTGGGCATGGATAGCCCCTGCCCTTCAGTCATGTCCACCTCCTCCCCCGGAAGCTTCTCCCACTCGAAACAGTGGATCAAGATCGCGAGTGCCAGGCCGATCAGTCGAATGGCGAGGCCTTCCCCGGGGCACTTGCGCCGCCCGGACCCGAACGGAAGCATCCTAAGCCCTGTCTCCTCCTTCCCTCCCTCGCACTGGAACCTCTCCGGCTTGAACTCCTCGGGTTCGTCCCATATGTTAGGGTCCCTGTGGATGGCCCACGCGTTCGTCAAAAGCATCGTGCCGCAAGGCACGTCGTAGCCTCCGACGGTGCAGTCCTGGGAAGACTCATGGGGCACCAGGAGCGGCACAGCGTGGTACAACCGGAGGGTTTCATTGATGATGCAGTTGAGGTAGGGGAGATTGGGGATGTCTTCTTCTTCCACCATCCGCCCTTGGCCGATCCTGGCATCGAGCTCGGCCCTCGCCGTGTGCAGGACTTCGGGGTGGATGAGCAGGAGGCACATGGCCCATTCTATGGTGACGGCCGACGTGTCTGTTCCTGCTGCCATTAATTCCTACACATGATAGTAGTGTGTGTATTATTTACTATTTAGGAATTAGTGAATAGAAAATAAATGATTATTTACTAATTCATAGAACTTAATTATTATTACTAAAAGCATTAGAGTAGTTTGACATCACAACTGACTTGTGGCGAGGGATGTAATCCCGCTTCTATTACCGCTCGGCGTCCATCAGTGCACTTTAGTCGTGAACGGAAGCGAGGCGAGGAACATAACCGGAAGACTACGAATAGCGAAGAAACGAGACGTACCACAATGAGGCCCTTAATGGTGACGTCGGTGTAAGTTCCCGGATCGCTTTCCTGAAGAGACAACATAACGTCGATCACCGTTGCCCTCCCCTTATCTCCGTTCCCTACCGCCCCGCCGCCTCTCGGTTGCGGCAACTCTGACGGCGGCGGACGCGATGACGCTCGATCAGTTCCCCGATCATTCGGACCCGAACCCAGCCGTGTTGGTCCCGAGGCCACGGCTTAAAGTTGTTGACACCAACAGTAGCCACCGACGGTGCAATGCTGGGAAGACTCATGGGGTACCAGGAGCGGTCCGGCGGGATACGGCCGGAGGGTCTCATTGATGATGCAGTTGAGGTAGGGGAGATTGGGAATGTCTTCTTCTTCCGCCATGCGCCCTTGGCCGATCTTGGCATCGAGCTCGGCCGTCGCCGCATGCAGGACTTCAGGGTGGTTGAGCAGGAGGCACATGGCCCATCCCATGGTGACGGCCGACGTGTCTGTTCCTGCTGCCAGTAATTCCTACACATGAAAGTAGTGTGTGTCTTATTTACTATTTAGGAATTAGTGAATACAAAATAAATGATTATTTACTAATTCTTAGAACTTAATTATTATTACTAAAAGTACAGAGCTGCTCGACATCACAACTGACTTGTGGCGAGGGATGTAATCCCGCTTCTATTACCGCTCGGCGTCCATCAATGCACTTTAGTCGTGAACGGAAGCGGGGCGAGGAACATGACCGGAAGACTACGAATAGTGAAGAAGAGGAAGAGAGGGATAAGAAGAGAAGAGAGGTGAGGGGAGGGAGAGAGGAGGGGCGTCGGCCATGGTACGTTGTCCGAGGATGAAAGGTTTGCGCGAAATGGTTGCTTATAAGCCCCATGGGATAATGTCTCCTTGAGTCGACACCATTATGGATCATCATCGGTGGGGTTTGACAGAATTGGATTCGGACCTCCATAGGTTAGGATGTCTCCTATCCCAGCAGGTAGCGAAGAATTCATAAATGACACGGATGTGACCAATAGGAAGAGAGGGATACGAAGAGAAGAAAGAAGAGGCAGAGAGGAGAACACGTCGGAGGATGGAAGATTTGCGTGAAATGGTTTCTGACAGAGGTTGCTTAAGCACCATGGGACAATGCCTCCTTGAGTCAACACCGTTTTCCTTGACAAAGTTGGATTCACTGATCCAGTGGACCCCTCAGCAGAAGTTTCAAAAGGCCGTTAGCAGATGGGCAATCTTTTTCCCAAACGTTGGAAAGAGACTGTTGCTTACTTTTCATTGCCCACGCATCTTGTACGGCTTCGAACAACGTAGGAATAGGTCGAACATAGGAATAGGTGGTTGTCGCATCCAAGTCTGAGGTGTTGTGTCGATTCATGTGTCATATCAGTCTTAATGCTCCATATTAACTTTGACATGACTGTTGACTGTTACCACTGGAGTACACGAGAATGTGTCCTATTAGAACAAACCAAATCTTATATAAGAATTACATCTTACTTCTCAGATGTCACAAAAAAAAAAAGTATCATTTTAATAATTTTAATTTTATCCAGATTAACAATTTTAAAAATATATCATTATTAAATTTTATATTTTAAATATAGTATTTTAATAATTAAAAATATAAACAAATAAAAAAGGAATATTCTACAACAAAAATATAAAATTTTAACATAATAATTCCAACGCTGAAGGATTTAATTTGTCTCGCCAAAAAATAAAATCAGTTTGAATGTAATTGGAGAGAGCCTCTATCATTTGATATGGTGCTCCTTGTGTTAGCAACGATCGATCGGATGAGACAAAAGTGATTTTAAGAAAAGCTATAGAATATGAACACATGTCCTCCCCCAACAACATCAAAAGAACACATTATCCCATTAATGTCGACTCGAGGTTTGCATACGTCATCTTGTTAGCCATATGCCAATATGCCTCCTTTGTTCTTTTAAGACCTTTGAGATTGCCTTCGGTACTGTCCTATGGTCGGCCACACCATTTTTTTCGAATGATGGACGGTGCAAAGGAGAGAAGGTGTGCTGCATTGGCGCTCACGGATGCACCAATGATAAATATTTTAAATATAAAAATCATGTTAAATAAGGGATAAGTGATATGTAATTAAAGGGAATAGAGTACGGCGTTCTTTGATGGATTGGTCGCAATGGATGTAACGAGACACTCGAATAGGATGACACAATGCGCCAACATCGGTTTTAGATTTATATGGATTATGATAATACAAGAGATGGACATACCTATCTCAGCGTGTAAATTATTCATTAGGCGACAAACACAGGGAAGACGCCAACCGACACGAGCGAAGGGGACGATAACTACTAAAGCACAGGTATCAGACAACGAACCCACAAGCAGCTTTTTAACCGGAGGAACGTACGTATTAGCCACACTGTATGCCAACTCTCAGAGCTGTGAAAGAGCATGAAGCATGGTGTGGCGTGGCGTGCACACGACTTCCAATGGCTTTGCCTTGGGCATGGTTAGCCCCGGCCCCTCGGTCATGTCCACCTCCTCCCCCGGAAGCTTCTCCCACTCGAAACAGTGGATCAAGGTCGCGAGTGCCAGGCCGATCAGTCGCATGGCGAGGCCTTCCCCGGGGCACTTGCGCCGCCCGGACCCGAACGGAAGCATCCTAAGCCCTGCCTCCTTCCCTCCCTCACACTGGAACCTCTCCGGCTTGAACTCCTCAGGCTCGTCCCATGTGTTAGGGTCCCTGTGGATAGCCCACGCGTTCGCCAAAAGCATCGTGCCGCGAGGCACGTCGTAGCCACCGACGGTGCAGTGCTGGGAAGACTCATGGGGCACCAGGAGCGGCACAGCGGGGTACAGCCGGAGGGTCTCATTGATGATGCAGTTGAGATAGGGGAGGTTTGGGATGTCTTTTTCTTCCGCCATGCGCCCTTGGCCGATCTTGGCATCGAGTTCAGCCCTCGCCGCGTGCAGGACTTCGGGGTGGATGAGCAGGAGGCACATGGCCCATTCCATGGTGGAGGCCGTCGTGTCTGTTGCTGCTCCCAGTAATTCCTATACATGAAAAGTAGTGTGTGCATTATTTACTATTTAAGAATTAGTGAATAGAAAATAAATGATTATTTACTAATTCTTAGAACTTAATTATTATTACTGAAAGCATGGATCAGCTTGACATCATAACCGACTTGCGGCGACGGATGTAATCTCGCTTCTATTACCTCTCGGCGTCCATCAGTGCACTTTGTCGCGAATTTAAGCGGGGAGACTAACATAACCGAAAATTACGAATAGCGAAGAAACGAGACGTACCGCACTGAGGGCCTTAATGGTGACGTCGGTGTAAGTTTCCGGATCGCTCTCCTGTAGGGACAACATAACCTCGATCATCGTTGGTCTCTCCTTATCTCCGTTGCTGCCACTCCGACGCCGGCGGGCACGATGACGCTCGATCAGTTGTCCGATTAGTGCGTCTCTCTTCTGCACGAGCCTCGCGAGTTTCCTCTCCGGCCCGCGCCACCCCAGCCTCTGCAGCACCGGAAAGAAGTCCGCCACGTTTGCCGCCCCGCTCACCGCAGACGTCTCCTCCACTATCTCCCGGAAACGATGCCTGTCCTCCGCGGACTCCTCGAGGGCCGTGGCCACCAACCCCATCATCACGTCGTACACCAGATTGAATAACCTCGACTTCATCTCGACCCGCCGCGGACCGTTCGGCTCAGAATCTCCGGGCTCGAGGAAGAGGGACTTAGCCAGCGACCGGACCACGCGGGTCCGTGAGTCGGAGGACGAGCGAAGGGCGGCCGAGGATAAGAGGTGAACGGCGTAGATGCGTCGGAGGTCACGCCAGTGGGGGCCGTGGGGCGTCCAGCCCATGGTGGTGCAGACGAAGCCTAAGATCTGAGGGGCGAGGAGGTTGGGGCGATTGGCGAAGGCGACGTCGTGAGCAGTGAAGCACTCTTCCGCGGCGGGAGCGGAGGAGACGAGGAGAACAGGGCGGGATCCGAGGCGGAGGAGTACGACGGGGCCGCGGGCGGTGGCGATGGCAGCCAAGGCGCGATGAGGCGGGAGCTTGGCGATGAGGTGGAGGTGGCCGATGATGGGGAACGAAGGGGGGCTCGGCGGGAGATTTTTGCGAACACTCTTGGTCCATCGCCATGCCAGGGATGCGAACAAGACGAAGAGAGGGATAAGAAGAGAAGAGAGGAGAGGGAGAGAGGAGGAGGCGTCGGCCATGGTTTGTTGTCCGAGGATGAAAGGTTTGCGCGTAATGGTTGCTTATAAGCCCCATGGGATAATGTCTCCTTGAGTCGACACTATTATGGATCATCATCGGTGGGGTTTGACAGAATTGGGTTCGGACCTCCATAGGTTTGGATGTCTCCTATAAATGATACGGATGTGACCAAGAGGAAGAGAGGGATACGAAGAGAAGAGAGGAGAGGCAGAGAGGAGAACACGTCCGAGGATGGAAGGTTTGCGTGAAATGGTTTCCGACAGAGGTTGCTGAAGTGTCATGGGACAATGCCTCCTTGAGTCAAACACCGGTATCGATCAATCATCATCAACGAGTGACTTGTCCCAAACGTTGGAAAGAGACTGTTGCCCGAATGCCTACGTTTGCAGATGGGCAATCTTTTTTGAGAGAAGTTTCAAAAGATTGTTTATTTACTATTGACTTTGGATCCTCCATATACGATTACCGCTTACGTTTAGTCCCTCATTAAACAAATAAAATCTTATATGTTACATCTTAATTCTCAGATATCACCAAAAGAAATGTATCATTTTAATAATTTTAATTTTATCCTGATTAAAAATTTTAAAAATATATCACTACAAAATCTTAAAAGTTTTACATTTTAAATGTAGCATCTAAATAATTATAAAGGCAAACAAATAAAAAAGGAATACTCTATTACGAAAATATAAAATTGAAACCGACTAATTCTAACGTTTAAGGATTTAATTTGATACGGTCCAGCAACGATAGACCGGCTAAGACAACAAATGATGATAGGAAAAACTATAACACAAGAAAATTACTCTCAAACTCAGAGTTGATAACAAATATATTCTCAAAATATTATTTTTTTTGGGAAAAGAGATACATAAAAGTATTATTTGCAAATATACCCTCAAAATTGTCTAACCAGAAAGCTTGGCTTAGATATCCTCAAAAAGGATGTAAAGCTGCAACAATTCCAAGAAGCTACATTAGATATATACATAGAGTTAGCAAATTGTCACCCCATGGCTAATTATCAATACAGTTCAAATTAACATTAGGTATCGATTGCAGCTGAAGCACAAACAACTTCTGATGCCCAGTATAACTTCCAGTTGCCAAGAGTCTTAGATAAAATAGTCATCACCATTACTAAACCTATCAAAAATCGGTGTTGTATATTTCAAGATTTATCAAAAGAAAAGGAAATTATTACCCACAGAACATGCTCAGCATGCATGGAAAATGTTATCATCCGAGAAGAATACAGTATCATTGAATCAAGTTCATGAAGAAGATTTGGTTGCTAGAATAGGCTGAACTGCAGCTTTGAAGTCCTCCAAGAATTTCTGCTCTGAAAACCTTTGAGCGTGCTTTCTAGCAACTGCAGCTATTGCTAGTCTCTCTGCCTCTGCCATCTTAATCACTTTGAGGATAGCTTCAGTATATTCCACTTTGTTTGATGCTAGAAATCCTGTTTTACGTCCACATTCATTCAAAATTATGTCCATCTTGGGACCTGCTGAATTATGAGCTGATGGGAAGAAAAGTATTGTCAGTGGATAGCATGCTTAGCTTTCGGATAAACAGTGATTAATCACACCAGATTAATCACTGTTTGTCCACATGGGATGGGAGTCCACATGCACTAACCAATTGGTACCACACCAGATGCCATGTACTCTACGACACTAATTCCAAAATGTTCTCAATCATGGAGTGAAGCCCGGCAACAGCACCTCCCAGAAGTTAGACCAAGTCCCTGTTACGGTGAACAATTCAAAAAGAGCTGACGTAAACATGGCAAACAATAGAAGAAACTGTATATCATTTATGCATTGGAGGCAGTAGAGTTTTAGATGATGTAGTGAAGATTCCTCTCAAGTCTCAAGAACTACTAAACATAAAGTTCAGGCACAAGACGACATCCAAAATTGCATGTTCTGCGAATAGTATGTCAAGGTTTGAGCTCCGATGCATAGCCACGATTAGATTGATCTAAAACTTTCTTGTTCCCTCTCTCAGAAGACCTTTGATATTCCCTCGAGTCTGAAGGTATCCAATAACTTGTTATCCTTTGGACACTATATTCAGTCGTGCATTAATGGGTCAGTCGTAGTTTACAGGAGACGGTCAAACTAGTTGAAAGAATGGTATTGCTCAGAACAGTTCTAGATCGATTCCACTGGAACTTCAAATTGACCACTGGTCAAAGTTCTGACACGGCAGACAAATGAGTAGACCATTAATGGGAGTTCCATCCATGCTAATGGTGGAGTAAAAATCTGTCGGCGTTCATCTCCACCTGCAAACTATGGAACTGACTTCTGGTTTCCATAAGGGTAGAAAAGAAATATCCAAAAAAACCATACATGTTCAGCTTTGTTTTAGTAAATAACCCTGGGCCTTCTAGAATGAAAAGAGCCGAAGAAGGAACATATGGAATGTTGAAGTCCTTATCCTCCTGCACATCTCCAGCCTCAAGCTACTCATTATGCTCTTTCTGGATATGCTTCGATTAGTCAATAACATAAAAGGGTAGCACAAAACCAAACAGTATATAAAGGATAACGGAGTCCTTATATGGGAAATTCTACTTGCTACACCTAAACTCAAACATAGATGTCACTAACTCTGTTTTGATCCACCAAAATTTAAGAAAAAACCAGAGAATATTGTTAGTTGTGTACAGTGAAAACAAATCTAGAGACAAAAAAGGGAATCCAAAACAAAAAATATACTAGCAGCTAGGAATTTTCAAGTTGAAAGAAAACTAGTGCTGCAGATTGAACCTATTAGCAGCATCCCTGCGGAACTCCTCAAAATTATCCAAATTTAGTTCCCTGCGTCTCTCTTTGAGCTTCTGCAATCTTTCTTCATCCTGCTTATTCCGACAACTACCCACAAATTGGAGCTTTGGCCTAGGCATGTCCTGATCTAGTATTCCAACAGATTGTGCAAACGCTTCCAGTTGAAGGCTATGAGCCTTGATGAGAATCAAGTGTCACAGTTAATATTGTGATATCAACTAACCATATGCCCACATGATGAGGGCATTCACAGACATCACCTTCTCTGGGCGAAACTGGGCAACTGATATAATCACAGGACTCCTAACTGGCTTTCCCAGAGGAAGCATCCGCTTGGACATTCAGTACTTTCTTTCATCAATGATGGTTTAATAAATCTCTAGCAGTGAATAATTAAATGGAGCCAGATGATAAAATAGGATGTTTTGAAATGTCCAACTCGCTAAGTCTTTTAAACAATTGCAGGTAATAAGACACATTTAGCTAAACCGTGAAACTTAGCTCTCTAAAGTTGGTTTTGTAAAGAAACAGGACATCAAAATTAAATATAATTGGCTTGGAAATTTGTCATGCATTCTAAAATTGTTAAGCAACAGTCAGGTATAAGCCAGGCTGCCAATTTACAAGAATTATATATATACCTGAAGGGATGAAGTATCACAGGGAGGGTACACTCTCTTAGTGAGTGGAGGAATCTTCCACAGACAATCTATATGTGACTTGGCCCATGAGGAGTTTACCATTGCAAGATGTGCACAGGATCCCACCGAGCCATACAACCAACTAAATATTGTATAGTACACCACTTTGCACCTGGATAGCAGAATGCAGCCTCACAAGTAAAGAAGACATAAGATGATTAGCACCACACGTCAAAGAAAAAAAGACTTCTTCTTAGTCCAAACAAGACTAGATTGCCTATACCTCGACTGCCAAATCCATACAATTTAATGCTTATTTATTTCTTTGAAGTCAGAGTATCAGTATTCTGACCTCGTCTACAGGAGTGAAGAACAATAAGAAGCAGTGTTCATCGCTTAAAATCTTTACATAGCAATTGGTTGCAAACAAATCATGACATACATACAATACAGAATAAGCACTAGGAAAAAGCAGGACATGGAGCAAAAGGAATGACCATGTTCTCATATGTGTGCTCCAATCCGTTTAAAAAGCTCTTGTTATTGTTGAATAAATCAAATGTCACCTCATCACACAATTCTAAGAAAATATTGCATAGATTAAATGGAACTTACAAAGAAAGTTGCATCCAGAGGTGAAAGCAGACATGTGGCCATTTAACAATAAAAATTTAACAAACATGACCTTTAAGCAACATTACCAGGAGTCATTTCTTGTGAAACAGATTGTAGAGTGATACTCAATTGCAAAAACAACATAAGTTTACAATTAGCGTAGGACACCAACTAAGCAACTATTTTTAGAACCTAGCTTATGAACATGATCAAGAACAAAGGTCTAAGCTGTACCAGTTCTTATAAACAGATTGCAAATGATAAAGATTCCAAAAATCATGAAAGCAACTATTTCTGCAGTCAACTGAAGATACTATATCTGCAAATACCTCATAGCAATTAGAGCATCATTATTGTACATTGAGCTGCGCTGGAGTACACGAGAAAAACCATATCCGAGCTGGTGGTCGTATAGTAAGTATAGCAAATAACTTTGCACCCAAAAATCCGAGCAAGCAGGTAGGTAAAAGCATATAACCACTAGTATCAAAATAGAATTGAGGGGTGAATTTGCACAGAGCCTTCCACGAAAAATACACTGAACCAAGACTTTATCCAATCATAGTAAAATGAGGATATGTGTGCTCTTCAATGCATTTCCACCTGTACAAGTGAATGACCTAACAGTGCATGTTGGCACGTAAACTATGGGATCATTTAACCAAAACTGAAGTGCCAGAAAAGGATGAACTTGTTTATAGCAAAAAAAATACAAAAGAACAATAGGTATTGATGATGGACTCTTCTTTCTTATCAAATTAAAAACCTAAAATATTAAACACTCTTCGTTGTTTTGTTTCATAGACCGAAGGTAATGGTGGTAAGCAACAAAACATCCTAACATCCTCACCAATTTCATAATGTAAATGACTAGTAAAGACGGCGTAGCCGAGATCGGGGTTCTCTTCCTGCACGGCTCTCAGGGCGCACCACAGGACCCTCTCCCCGCGACCGCCGTCGTTGGTGTAAGAATGGAA